GTTTGGCGGTCAAAAAAACTGAAATTGTTTTGGGTGTTTTTTGAACAATTTTAGTGCTAACTTGATCCTTAGTTCTCTTTAACCAAAAATGTGAAGACAATTGTGAAGACTTCTCGGAAAAAAAGCTGTGAAACAAAACATTCAAACTGTAAGCCACTATGTTGAATTCACCGATTGCTGGGCACCCGGGTTGTCCTCCATACATCGAAAATGCTTATCATACAATGAAATACAATTGTATGAAAAAACGCTTGTCATACAATTGTCTTATAGTTTCGAGAAATGGTTGATTTCTGCGATTTTTTTTATTCTAATGAAACAGTCCGGAGATGATAAAACCCAGGTTTTTGTTTTTTTGAAAAAAATGCTCATCATACAATTCCCATATAAGGAAACTGTATGACTAACTTTTTTTTATTGGCGACACAAAATTGTTTTCCAGTAATTTTGAAGCTCCCCAATGTTTTTTCTGATTTTTTTATCAACTGCAAATCGATTTTTGTACTCAAACAAATTTCATCCGATAATTTTTTTTTGCTTGCAGACTTAGTTTTTTTTGTGTGCATAAAGGTAGTCTTGAATACACTCGTTGTTTTTTTCTCCTTTCCGCTTCAAATTTTTTTTCAAAAGCGCTGACAACCCATATTTCTTTTTTATGGCATATTTATGCATGCCTTGATCATTGTCTGATAAATTGAAAACTTTTGCCACAATTTAAAGTTTGTTACTTCCGTTATATTTAAAATGAAGACTTAAGACAGTTCAGGTCTTTTTCTATGAACTGTAAATACAAAACCGTCAAACCTTTGGTGCTTTGAGTAAAGCAAGTAAATTAATTTTTTTTAAATAAATTTTTTGGTTCATGAAAAAATACTCATCATACAATTTTCATAGGTGGAAGAACGCTTATCATAGAAATTTCATACAATTTTCTGTACGTATGTAATTTTATGGTAAGATGTTTTTCTTTTATGGAGATTGAATGATAATAAGTTTTGGTCAACCCGGGCTCCCAAGTTGCGACAGTTTTTCTTATACAAACTTGAGTCTGACTTGGTACTTTCAACTACACGAATTTTTATGGTCAACTTATCGTTCGAGTCGATAAATAATCTTGTCGAAGGCTTTTGCACGGGTCGTGATGCTCACTTTATGTTTCGACTTTCAAAGGCGAGTATATGTCTGTGCCCCACCGAAAAAGAATAGTCGAGAGAGGGGTAAGAGTCGAGCACAAATTCGAAACATACCTCGAGCACGGTCGAAAACACCTCGAGCACGGTCGAATCATACCTCAAGTACGGTTGAGCACGCTCGAAACAAACTTTGAGCACCATCGAGCACAGTCGAGCACGTTCGAAATATACCGCGAGCACGGTCGAAAAAAAACTGATTGTCCCAGGGTAATTCGGAATCCAAAAGACAAAATTCTTTCAAATTTTACTGATTTTGGGGAAAAAAATTGACATACTGCAAACCAGTGTTCCAAAAGATGGAAAATAATAGCTCAAAATCTTTACACAACATTTAAGTTGCAAATAACTCTAATCATTGCATTCTGATAAAAAAAAACGATAAAAAGTTACCCGAAAAAAAAAACAAAGTGTAACGTTTAAACTTGGAAAACTCATGTTGTTTCAAAGCCGAAACATGCTCGAATTCGGTCGAGCACAGTCGAAACATATCTTGCTTGGGTCGAGCACGGTCGAGCACAATTTCTGTTCGGTCGAGCACAGTCGAAACATACCTTGCTTGGGTCGAGCACAGTTGAGTCCATTTGCTTAGGTGGAAACATGCCGAATTTTGGTCGACCACGGTCAAAACATACCAATTTTTGGTCCAGTAGAGACAAAGCGAGCACCTGCACCCAAGTAATTATAATTTTTAAATCTCAAACATGAATCCGAGAGGTTTTTGATATCTCCAAAAATTGATTTGAAACGTATGGACCAACATGCTCGAAGTTTTTTGAGTACTGTTTGGATCATATGCAAATCATAAAAAAACTGGCCGGCAAAAGAAAACGTTTCCAATTTATTTTAACATATTTACATAAGTATTTTTACATGGGTCTAAATTATCAATAATTTCCAAACCGAAAATAACTAAACCTAGCACATTTTTAAAAACAAATTTTGTGCAGAATTTGAAACTCCGATTTGTTTTAAGATGTTTGTTTGGGCTGGTACTTTTTTCAACGTATCATTTTTTCAATATCACGTCGGAAATAGAAAACAGAGATGACCGCATTCGACCAGCATAAATGGTTGAAAACGTGAAAACGTATCAATTAGCATAAACCTGATAGATAAACTTCTCAGAAATACACAAGAATAATCGTAATTCGTTCAAATTTGCGTTTCTTAGAAATAGAAAAATGAGTATTTGGGAAAATATGCAATCAAGAAGCAGATGAAACTTCTAAAACTATAATTTGTAGTCAGTCACGCCCGACCGGTAATGGCTTTAACCGAGCCCTACTCATCGAGCAAATTACTTTATGTGTATAAAAAACTGTTATTTATACTGTTTCTTTTGTGTACAATAATTTTTATTTCTACAATATGAATGAAGTTTCAGTTTCAGATTTTATGCTAGTCGATAGGGTTTTCAATTTCCAAACTTTTATGCATGTCGAGCGGTCACTGTAAAAGGACCACAACATTGGGTAATTATTAGCAGTTAATTTCACTTCGTCTGAAAACAATTTCAAAGAAGTTGAAAGGCTCTCCTTTGACAGGTCTTGTGGTCATGTTCGGATCCCAAGATATTGTTTTGAAGCCCTGTTTGTACAGCTGCTGGACTACTTGGACGTAAATACGAATATACGTTGACACCCTGTGAAACTCTACTCCAATTTGTAGCACGTTTCTGTAGCACGTTTCTCAAACTGTATGACTAACTTTTTTTTTATTGGCGACACAAAACTGTTTTCCAGTAACTTTGAAGCTCCCCAATGTTTTTTCTGAATTTTTTATCAACTGCAAATCGATTTTTGTACTCAAACAAATTTCATCCGATAATTTTTTTTTGCTTGCAGACTTAGTTTTTTTTGTGTGCATAAAGGTAGTCTTGAATACACTCGTTGTTTTTTTTTCTCCTTTCCGCTTCAAATTTTTTTTCAAAAGCGCTGACAACTCATATTTCTTTTTTATGGCATGTTTATGCATGCCTTGATCATTGTCTGATAAATTGAAAACTTTTGCCACAATTTAAAGTTTGTTACTTCCGTTATATTTAAAATGAAGACTTAAGACAGTTCAGGTCTTTTTCTATGAACTGTAAATACAAAAACCGTCAAACCTTTGGTGCTTTGAGTAAAGCAATTAAATTAATTTTTTTTTAAATAAATTTTTTGGTTCATGAAAAAATACTCATCATACAATTTTCATAGGTGGAAGAACGCTTATCATAGAAATTTCATACAATTTTTTGTACGTATGGAATTTTATGGTAAGATGTTTTTCTTTTATGGAGATTGAATGATAATAAGTTTTGGTCAACCCGAGCTCCCAAGTTACGACAGTTTTTCTTATACAAACTTGAGTCTGACTTGGTAGTTTCAACTACACGAATTTTTATGGTCAACTTATCGTTCGAGTCGATAAATAATCTTGTCGAAGGCTTTTGCACAGGTCGTGATGCTCACTTTATGTTTCGACTTTCAAAGGCGAGTATATGTCTGTGCCCCACCGAAAAAGAATAGTCGAGAGAGGGGTAAGAGTCGAGCACAAATTCGAAACATACCTCGAGCACGGTCGAAAACACCTCGAGCACGGTCGAATCATACCTCAAGTACGGTTGAGCACGCTCGAAACAAACTTTGAGCACCATCGAGCACAGTCGAGCACGTTCGAAATATACCGCGAGCACGGTCGAAAAAAAACTGATTGTCCCAGGGTAATTCGGAATCCAAAAGACAAAATTCTTTCAAATTTTACTGATTTTGGGGGAAAAAATTGACATACTGCAAACCAGTGTTCCAAAAGATGGAAAATAATAGCTCAAAATCTTTACACAGCATTTAAGTTGCAAATAACTCTAATCATTGCATTCTGATAAAAAAAAACGATAAAAAGTTACCCGAAAAAAAAAACAAAGTGTAACGTTTAAACTTGGAAAACTCATGTTGTTTCAAAGCCGAAACATGCCCGAATTCGGTCAAGCACAGTCGAAATATATCTTGCTTGGGTCGAGCACGGTCGAGCACAATTTCTGTTCGGTCGAGCACAGTCGAAACATACCTTGCTTGGGTCGAGCACAGTTGAGTCCATTTGCTTAGGTGGAAACATACCGAATTTTGGTCGACCACGGTCAAAACATACCAATTTTTGGTCCAGTAGAGACAAAGCGAGCACCTGCACCCAAGTAATTATAATTTTTAAATCTCAAACATGAATCCGAGAGGTTTTTGATATCTCCAAAAATTGATTTGAAACGTATGGACCAACATGCTCGAAGTTTTTTGAGTACTGTTTGGATCATATGCAAATCATAAAAAAAACTGGCCGGCAAAAGAAAACGTTTCCAATTTATTTTAACATATTTACATAAGTATTTTTACATGGGTCTAAATTATCAATAATTTCCAAACCGAAAATAACTAAACCTAGCACATTTTTAAAAACAAATTTTGTGCAGAATTTGAAACTCCGATTTATTTTAAGATGTTTGTTTGGGCTGGTACTTTTTTCAACGTATCATTTTTTCAATATCACGTCGGAAATAGAAAAATAGAGATGACCGCATTCGACCAGCATAAATGGTTGAAAACGTGAAAACGTATCAATTAGCATAAACCTGATAGATAAACTTCTCAGAAATACACAAGAATAATCGTAATTCGTTCAAATTTGCGTTTCTTAGAAATAGAAAAATGAGTATTTGGGAAAATATGCAATCAAGAAGCAGATGAAACTTCTGAGACTATAATTTGTAGTCAGTCACGCCCGACCTGTAATGGCTTTAACCGAGCACTACTCATCGAACAAATTACTTTGTGTATAAAAAACTGTTATTTATATTGTTTCTTTTGTGTACAATAATTTTTATTTCTACAATATGAATGAAGTTTCAGTTTGAGTTTGTTTGCTAGTCGATAGGGTTTTCATTTTCCAAACTTTTATGCATGTCGAGCGGTCACTGTAAAAGGACCACAACATTGGGTAATTATTAGCAGTTAATTTCACTTCGTCTGAAAACAATTTCAAAGAAGTTGAAAGGCTCTCCTTTGACAGGTCTTGTGGTCATGTTCGGATCCCAAGATATTGTTTTGAAGCCCTGTTTGTACAGCTGCTGGACTACTTGGACGTAAATACGAATATACGTTGACACCCTGTGAAACTCTACTCCAATTTGTAGCACGTTTCTCAAACTTCCCCTAAATAAAACCAGTAAATATGGACTCCCTTTGACAGCACCCGGGGCTGCTAAAATTGGAGATCTCAAGATAGTACAAAGGCGTGACCCCCCCCCCCCCCCCCTAAATTCGCTGGTCATTATGATGCTACTTTTTATTTGTTTCAAAACAATAAAATCATTATAATCGCACTTTTGAAATTTTTTCCCCAAACTTTTAGTTGAATTATGGTTTGTTTAATCGAATGATAATGGATTTTATCTAGTTCTTAAAATAATTTTGTAGAAACTTTTTTGTCAAATAATTTATTATAATCGATTATAATGGATTTTAAATGGATTATAAACGATTTGATTTTTTTTTTGAAAAAAAAAATGGATTATATTGGATTATAATCGATTCTGTGGTCCCAAAGTGTTATAAAAATCGATTATAATGGCAACATTCTTGACCACGAAAATCGATTATAATCGACTACTATTATCCAAAAAACCTCACTGCGGGCTGGTCGATACTTTCGAAAAACTTGTTTATAAACTCGAAAAAGAATGGCTGTGTTTCCGCAAGGGTATTAAAGTATGATACGAACTGAAATAGCAATTTTTCAAATAATTTCAACTGAAAAACTATCAAAAGTTTTGAATAATATTGGCTTGTCAGCAATTCAAATGCATTATAATTCACACAAAAATTGTTTGAAATTTTTAATTAAAAATTGAACAAAACCGAATAGAATCGATTAGATTTTGCATTTTATTGTTTAGAAAACATTAAGAAAGTTATCCATATTCTTTCGACTACAATCGTTTGTTTCGATATTCAGGGAGGTTGAAATTTCAGTATAATTGATCATCATCCATAAAACTCTACTGCATACTGCAACAAAATACGTTTCACTTGTTGCTAAAAAGCATTTTTTTGTGCATTTACATCCTTCATTGTCACATTGCTCTTAAAAATAACGATACCGACATTTTTTGTCCTACGATACTGACATTTTTTGTCCCGAAAAAAACACGACTGTGATTACTTACGATTCGATCCACTCTGTTATGGCTTGTCGCTCGGATCCGTCCACGTCAACCTGCAAATATATTTCATTTCTATGAAATATTACTGACAAAGTGAAAGTTTTTACAGGCTGTTACAATCAGACTTTGTAAAACCAGGTAGAAGAACCAACAGACAAGCTGTTCACCTCTTTGCGGAGAATAGCTTTTTGTGTTTCGCACCTTGTTAAGAAATATACACGCAATTTTCGGTTTTTTTTACTGGGTAGTTTTACGGTGAAGCTTGAATCGCGAATCATGATGGGGCTCGCACCACATATCTTTAATTGTTGGAAGTTTATACCCCCTCGCACCGGAGTTCTATGGATAATAATCGGTTATAATGGAAAACTGTTGTCTAAAATGTTGTCATAATAATCCATTATTGTGGCAAATTCAGACCATCAAATCGACTATATTGTCATCATAGTCGGTTTTTTTTTCCTAAAAAAACAATCCATTAAAATCCATTATAATGGATTATACTCCATTTAAAATCCTTTATCATGGATTATAATCCATTTAAAATCCATTATAATTGATTTTAACGAATTATAATCTATACATTATTTGCAAAATCATTTGCAAAACTTGCAACATTTCTGCGTTACTCACGGCCTACTCGCAATCTAAACCTACTCGAATTAACACCCCGCCCCCCTACTTTGCTCCCATCGCTTTTTCCCAACCCCCTCCCCCCACTCCCCTACGTTTATCCCTACGCCCACCCCATGTTTACTAAAGTTTATCCCAACACCCCAAGGTAACAGTTTACCGCCTCGTCCAAAAGTCTACCAATAAATAACTTCCCATAAAGGGGGGGGGGGGGGCGAATGGAGGTTGCTGTAAACTGGCAGGGATTGGCAGGGATGTTGGAGGAAGGAGTAAACGGGGGGGGGGGGGGTTGTAAACAGGTAGGAAAACGGGAGGGGGGAGGGAGGATGTAAGCAGGGAGGAAAACGGGGGAGGGGAAATATCTAAGGCAAACAGGGGGGGGGGGGGGGGGGTTTGGGGAGGTAAACAGGGAGGGGGTAAGCGGGGTATATGAGACAAAAATTATTATAAAAATTGAAAAGTGAAATGTAAATATTTATTAAAACGTAGCAACTGCACTAAACAGGAAATGCGATAATTTTGAGAAAAAATTGTAAATTTTATGACTAACCTCTCGAAAAAATCCATCATAATTGATTATAATCGAATATAAGGGATTATATTGGCCTAAAATATATGAAAAAAATGGATTATAATCAATTATAATGGATTATATTGATACAAAAATTAATGGATTATAATTCATTTTTTATGGATTATACTCAATTTTTTTTGTAATTTCATAGATAATGACTATAAATTGACAATATAATCCATTTTTATCCATGGAACTCCAGTGCGGGCCGTCCCGCCACCAGAGAGTTCAAAATATTTTTTTTTTTGGGAAAGGGAGTGGGGTTAGCTTAAGAAATTTCAAATGAACAAAAAGAAGTTTCCAGGACGGGAAAAAACAACTGGCTTTTTCACTAAAAAATTTCGAATCAGAATCCTTGGGAAATCAGCATCCTTGGAACGGCTGAAACAATTTGCCAAAAATTGTTTCTGTAAAAATTAAAAAAAAAATACATTTACTTGTAATGGTATTCTCGACATCAATTTCTTAGAGCTATAGAAATCTATTCGCAACTAATTGGATTGGATCTATAAAAAAAACAATAAAAAGAAATGAACGAAAAAAGCGTGAAAAAACAATAGAATTCCTAGGGTTCGATTTGGTATTTAAAGCAAAGAGTAAAAAATATTATGCTTAGACTATTTATACAGCTTCGCGTTGGACATAAAATTTCCACATTTTTTTCAGGCAATAAAATGAACGAAAAATTTTTCACCTTTTTGCTGTTTTGCAAAAACAATTTTGCTGTTTTGCAAAAACGTGTAGTTCACGGTTTAACCGTGAAACTCTTTGAACCGTCAACTACTGGAGATCACGACTTAAGCTTTAAAATATGATGAATGAATCTGTTTTTAAACAATATAGCCGGACAAAAAATCGTAAAATCTTAATTTCAAGGATTCGCTCTACGTTTTAATAATAGAACGTAAAAGGGGCGTTCTGAGTGCAGAAAATTCCCCGTAAATAGCAGAAGCAATGTAAAGATTTGGATTGAGCGTGTTTTTTAGAAGGCTAAGGATGTAGGCTAAAGATATATCTTTTGGCAAATATTCACTGAAAAAGAAAAACAAAAATTTTTTGAGCTACGAATCAAAATTCGTCTCAGGTTTTGACATACAACAAAACAAATTGATGCATTTTCATTTAAAAAAATTTTCTAGTCCAACAATTTTAACTGCTTCTGCTGTTTACGCTGAATTTTTGGGACTAAGACCATATCTACCATGTTTCATATCTACCATTATCCATCATGTTTCAAATTTTTAACTGTGAAGTTGTAGTAGTTACGAATAAAAATTTGACTCAGAGTTAGGCATTTAACAAAAAAAAGGTGATGATGTTTCAAACAACTTTTGTCTAAGGGGTTAACAAATTTTTTTTTGTTTTCGTGAACCTGCCAGACCGTACAGCTTTGAAACCCTTACTTTTCAAACGAATGATTTCAAGTCCGACATTTCAAAATTTTTCTGCTGTTTACGGTGGTTTTTTGGCATCAAGAACAACCCTCTGACGCCCTCTGATTGAAGCGTCGAACAAAGCCTTGAAAGAAACTTGTTACATTTTTTATACGATTGCATTCTTCAAACCAGTTTGATCCATCATTTTTCAAAAGTTTAACTATACACTTGTTGTGTATTTGTAGATGTAGGTGTAGATATGCAAAAAATTACGAACTAAACTTTGACTCACATTTTGGCAATTAACAAAAAAATGAATGAATTTTCAGACAACTCCTGTTTAAGAAGTTACTAAAAAGTTTACTTCTGTTTTCGTTGAAAAAAAACTGCAACACCGTCTAGCTGCGAGAACTTTAGCTTTCCAACAATTACTTTCAAGTCCAACATTTACAACAGCTTCTGTTAGGTCCGAACTGTGGGATTTTTCGGCACTAAGAACAACCTTTTCACGTCCTCTGATTAAAGCGCCGAACAACGTCTTGGAAACATATTTTGTAACTGTTTTTCATACGGTTAGTCTTGTAAAAACAGTTTCATGCATCATATTGCAAACTTTCAACCAATAATTTGCAGTACTCAAAGATGTAGTTGTAGAAAAGAAAAAAAACACTAAAATTCAAAAATTTGACTCAGATTTTGGCATATAACCGAAGAAGAAGTTAACAAATTTTTTCTCGGTTTTCGTTGAACAAAATCTGCAAGACCGTCTAGCTTTGAGATCCTTACCTTTCCATAAATCTGCGTAAATTAAATTGAGCATAAGTCTGAATGTTTCCCACAGCCAAACAGCTTGAACTTTGTTTTTCCCGCCGCAAACTGGGCGATAATATTCAATGAGAACTTTTATTAAGTGAAACATCATAAGATTGGTTAGAAAGTAGAAAGTCGAAGGTAGAAAGTAGAAGGTGCCATATTGTATTGAAAGAAAAAATATAAAAAGTTGAAGTGAAAATTAGTTGTAGATAAAACTCTTTAAATAGACTAACTTTGAGATACTGTATGGTTCTGTTTGTGTCACCATTTTCGGCAATAAGAGTGCCTAAAGTTTTCAGCTTGCCACTGTTTTCCAATCCCAATCCAACTGGTTTCCAGTTGATTCTTCCGCTGTTTTCGGATTTAGGAAGACTTTTGATTGTGTGATCATAAGCAAATACCTTGCATCCTACGGAAACAGAAAATTTTGTAAACAAAAAGCAAAAGCATATCTTTCTCATCAGATCTCAGAGCATAGGGGTGGATCTAGGATTTTCTCGAGGGGGGCGGGGTGGGCAGGCAAAATTTGCAAAAAAATCCAGAAAAAAGCGTTTTAAGGCACTTTTTGGAATTTAAAAAAAATCGCGTTTTTTTAACGCGCCCCCGTTAAGATTAGTATAAATTGGCGCCAAGAGCGCCTTTAGAAAAATTTAAGGATCAGTCAGCAGAAAATGGATTTTTCATAATAGTACAAAGGGGGACTCTTTGGCTCGACAGGGGGTCGAATCCCTAATAAAAAACGTCCGCCACAAGCCCCCCCCCCCCCTTAGTCCGCCCCTGTCTCAGAGTAAGACTTAACTAACAATCATGAATAAAATTTGAATGTTACCCAAAATTCCTTGTTGTGAAGAGGATTATTTTTGTGACGTGGTGTGAAAGGGGTTACGTTGCTCAGCGTATTAAAATGATAATCCATTTATTCATCCCTCATCCGTGCATGTTCACAAGGGTCCATGACTCCTCTCCCCTATCTCAGCCCCCCCCCACCAGACAGAAACACCTAGTTACCGTGTGAAGCTACTGCGTCTTCGAATGACGCATCATTGTTCACTCCGAAAGAGTAGACCAAACAGTTCTGTTCATTTGCAGTGGATGCCGGAGGGAAGTCATCTGCGCATACATACTTGAAGCCATCCCAAGATCTCCATCCAGTATTGATGCCCCAATCTCCTGTTCCTGTTTAACAATCAGAAAAAAAAGATTCGTATCGAGCCAACAGTTGACAAAATAATCTTAAACTCGTAAACTCAATTATAAGTATCAAACCGTGTTGTATGATCTTTACTGAATCCGTACGGATTGGCAACTAAGGTGATAACTCAATACAATCTAGAAGTTAACTGAAACATAATCTCTTTTCTCAGTTCTGCACATGTTGTGCTCTTAGCAATACGGACTGGCCGAAGTTCTCAATGTCAGTTGACCTGTGGTAAAAATTGTATAAATAGTTATAAATATGTATATATGTACATCATTATCATGATGCCAAATGGCCGGATGATAATCACCCCTCTGTACGATAACAAATGATTTGAGTTTTTAGTCCCCGTGGGACTGACTGAGTTTAAGTAGCAATTCTTTAGTCCCTTTGGGACTTTTGATTATTCAATTCCTTTTTGCGGGTTCTTGTACTTCCTTGGTTGGTTGCTCCGTTATATTATCGTTTTTCTTGGTGTCAATCATAATTTCGTCCTTCACTTTCTCGTCTACTTGTTTTTCGTGTTCCTCGGTTGTGTTGGCTGGTTCGTCGGTCACCGGTGTACTGGCTTTTTCAGCAACATCAACATTCTTCTTGTCCATCATTATTGTTTCGTTCGTCGGGCTATCGATCGGTGATACGCGTTCTATTATCTTGACCCCGTCTTGTGCCACTTTTGAAGCACTTGGTTATATCGTTTCCAAAAAATGGATTCAGGCAATGATTCCGGAGAATTCTTTTTAAAGCCCATTTCGTGGATAAAACTGGATAAGCTGCTGGGATGATTTTATTTTCGGACGACGTGTTTTCCTGGCGATTCGATACTAATTTTCTTCTGTTCCACACTGTGTATGGGACAGAGATTTCCGAAAACGCAGGACAAAGTTGCCTGTCGGGCCCCTGTGGATTTTCTTGTAGCCACTTTTGGTGTATTCTGTGGCTGAGTAGTTTGTGAGGACAGTCAACGCTTGATGCTGTCGAGTCTGTTGTTTTTTTTTTCTTATCACCCTTCAGGAACATCAGGCCTCTTTGCTGTTTTATGGTTGGTTTTCCTCCCGGTCTGTGTTTTTTTGCTTCTGGTTTCGCAGTTTTTCTTTCTTGTATCTCTTTTCGAGAAATTTGTTTTGTAAAGCCCGTTTGTTCATCTTTTTTGAATATTGGGTGCTGGGGCGCGTTCAGCTCTTCGATATCTAAAATTTAAACATGCACCCGTTCCTCTTGCGGACTTGTATGCAACATAATCGCTTAATCTCGAAGGTCTGCTTGATCCATAGATAAGTGAGTTCGGTACAAAAGCGAATCCGATGTTCTAAGCCGAGGTTTTTTTCCCTCAGTTTCTACCAAGGCTGTATGTGGTGCTTAAGTAAGGATTTTTCTATCTATGGTTTTGTACTTTTGCTCAAATGCTTTTGTGCTTTAATAATTTTGTTGCTAATCTTATTATTTTGTGGGCTAGCTGTTTAAGTTTTTTAGTGTTTGGATCTTTTAGTGCTGATGTTCCTTTAAACTTTGAATTTGGAGCTTCCTTCTCTCTTGCTAACGAAAACCCAAATCTCGCACATGCTTTGCTTGGACTCGATGAAGTTCCCGTTTCCCCTTGGATTTCGGCGTTTGTCGGTTCTGGTAGATTTTAGAGTGGATTCGTCTTTTCCGTTGGCAGTGGAGGGTACGTCACGTTTTTCCAATCTAAACATGCGTGTTTTGCGTTTTCCCAATTCAAATTTATTGGGGAGCTAGTTGTTGCTATATTTGAAAGTAGTTCAATTGGTTTTGTCCCATAGGGTCTTCGAAGATAGTGTTTTTGTGGTTATGTGAGGAGTAACTCTTAATGTTTTGATTATTTCTGCGACATTAGACCCAAGTTTGAACTGCATCGTGGGATAATTCGCATTACTCCTTATCTGAATTTTACTTTTTGATTCATCTGTTCAACTACCCCAATAGATATGTGATCGTCTACCGGTTCAAAAAGATGTTTAATGTTGTTTGATTTACAAAAGTTTCGAACAGTTTTTGCCCGGAATGTTGTGCCTGATCACATCTTAATTTTTGTGGTGTCTCGATGTTTGAAATATATCTTTACATAAATTTTTTAGCGATATCCGCCGTTGTATTTATAACTACCTTAGCTTTGGAAATTTTGATCATTTATCTATTGCGACCAGAATGTGTTCATCTTTTTTTAAATCATCCGGTAATGGCCCCAAGAAATTGTGTTGTACTTCTTCATTTGGTTCTTCTATTGATTCTAGTTTGAAAGAATTTTCTTTTCCCAAAACTGGTTTTAAATTTTTACCTTGTTCTGTGCACTGTCTGCAGTTTTGGGCCATTTGGACAATGATCTGGTGAATTTGGGGTACTACAAACTCTCGCATAGTTCCAGCATTGCAGCTGCACCCGGGTGTGTAAGGTGAAGACTGACTAGGATCGCTTGTCTAAGTTGTTACGGGATGGTGATCCGCCCATCCAACAGCAAACAGTCCTCCTTAACATGTAGGCGGTTTCGGTCGTCAAACAAGTAGTCCTCGTAGGCTAGCTTAAGTGAGTATCAATCTCGCTTCTTCACAAAATTTACGATTGGTTTTAAGTATCTGTCCTTGCTGGTTGCTGTTGCTATGAATCCAATCCGAATTACCTTCTGGAGGTTGCTACGGTACAAAGGTATATCTTCTTCTAGCTCTGACTTTGTTGTGGCCTGATTCATTGTGGCAACTATACTTGACACGATCACTTCGTGTCTTGCCTCTAGTTGTTGTGTGTTATTATTCATTGTTAGTGGTCGTTCGTTTGGAGAGTAATCGTTCCTCTGCTGGAATCTGGGATCAACTCACCTCACAAAATGCTCATTTTGCTCGTTAACTTCGACCGTCAAGTCTGTCTGTGATTCCACGTACTCGTTGTTCTGTGTTTCAGTTTAGGATTCCGCCGACTGAGTTTAATTCTGGGTCGCTGTCGCGGTGGTGACTGTTTTTGGGCTGCTAGTCCCTTTGGGCGTTGAATCTCTAATCTTGCCTTGGGTTGGGCTGGCTATGTTTTCCAAAAATACTGTTTTTGTGAAGTGTCTCGCTGGATTGTAGGATTTTTTCGCTGGTAACTCTGATGGTTGTCGGACTTGTTGAGATTTCTTGAGACAACGATGTGCAATATTCATAGGTTGTTGTTGTTTTTGTTGTTCGGCTGTGCCATCGGGGATCGGATAGGCTCTCTTCTCGATCCGGTTCTACTCTCCAAGTAGTGTCGGCCTGTCGTCCGCGTGGTGTTTGTGCTTTTTTCCAGTTGCATCTGGTGGTACCAAATCGGGTATGAAGCCTCCCTTAAAACCTTTATTTTCTAATCTTTGGCTCACAGTTTGATTAGAAATTATTATAAGATGGATTTTCTGTTTATGTTTTTTTATGGGCTGCTGATTTTTTGAGAAGGAGATTGGATCGAATGATTATTTGTGTTTAAGATTTTGTGGCCGTGATCGGTAGGTATGTTCGGAGTGTTTGAAAAATGTAATTGGTTCCAATTGAGTGCTTAATTTCTTTTCATTTGCGGCGCGCGTTTTGATAAGCCGATACAGTGTTTGATTCTGATTGGCTAGCGTAATCGAAATAACGTTTCAATCAATTCGAGATTTGCAACGAACGAGTTAATAAATGCTACTACAATTTCCTCATCATCGTACTCACTGGAGGGGTAATGCTAATCCTACAGGGTTTTGCGAAATGTAGTCTATTAGCCCAAATTTTGAACCTGCCAAATGTTTGATATCAAAAATAAAAGTGATCAAACGATCAAATCGTCTCGTGAGTCTACTTTGGCTAGTTTTTGATCTTTCTCTCGCGTTTTATGAACTGATTAAAGCTTGATGGTCGGTAATGATGGTGGAATTTTTCTCGTACAAGTAAAATTTGAAGTTTTCGGTTTCCCGTAAGACCCCCGATAACTCTAGCTCATCTAAAGAATATTTTTTTTCTAAAAATTTAATGAACCTGGACACATATGATATTGCCACCCGTCCAATCTGGGTAAAATGCTCAAGCGCAGCGCTTCACTCAAGTTTAGATGCGTCGCAGACCACTCGGGTCTCTAGGTTTTGGTCAAACTGCTTGTTTTCAGTTATTTCTGAAACAAGTTTTAATATGCGATAAAAAGCTGTTGTGTGATCCGACTTCCAATCCAATGTTTTGTCCTTATCCAGTGTTTTTAATAATGGTTTGAGTGCTGAAGCCTCTTTTGACGGTTTTGATATATATCTTGTAAGGTGATGTATTGAACCCATACAACTTTTTAGCTGCTTGAATGTTTTAAGGGGTGTGAGTTTTGCTATTGCATCGGTTTGTCGATTCAGCACTTCAGTACCCTCTCTATTAAACTGATATCCGAGCCTTTCAACTTGTTTGCATGTGAACTTACTTTTTTCTTTTGAAATTGCTCAATTTTGTCGTTTAGTTACTGAACAAACTTTATGAAGGTCTTTTCTGTGTTCTTCTTTAATAGAACCCTTCGTAACTATTAGAATGTTGTCTAATTAAGCAAATGTGTTTTCGCAATTTGTTAACCTGAGGTCGCAATTGAAATTTGCAATCGAAATTCAGCAGGCATAATTGTGATACCATAAAATCCAGTTTGGAATTGGTATGTTCCTGTGGCATGTCCCCCGATTAAGCTGAAACTACCTTGTTTTTTGGTCTCTGGATCCAAAACTGCGAATATGCGTATCGAAGGTCAATTGTTGAGAATAGTGTCGGTTCTTTTTTTCCTTTCTAAGATTTGCGCAATGATGTCGAGCAGTAATTCAATATTGGGCACTTGATATTTGTTTTTATGGATACATTTATTTATCTTTTCCGAGTCCATTGCTAGTTTCTCTGTTTGATCCTTTTTACCGTTATTAAAATAGGGCTTATGAACTGTTGATGTGATTTTTTGTCTAGCTTGATGTTGTATTTTTGGTCGATAGTTTTGTTTAACTTTTTTCAAGCCAATCTTG